CAACCCCCCCAACCCCCGAAGTTCACTTTTTATTGCAGATTCGGGGTCCTCTAGGGTAGCGCAGCACAACCCCGCCTTCAACAAAAAAAATAAAAAAATCCTTGCTGTGTTTGTGTGTCGCCCGGTTTCGCCGGGCAGACCCCCCCGGACCCAACCGGCCGGGCACGACCGGCCGGGCGTCGGCCCATCCTAGCAATACTTCCAAATAAAGCCACCGTTTGGAGTCTTTGGAGAAGTTTGGACTGATTGGCTAACTGAGGATAGACCCACCCAACCCATCCGGCTGAATGGTACACACATGTAACCGTTAGTAAACAGCACATGAGTTCGAATCCTGATGGAGTCAGATGAAAACAATGAAGTTAAGGGGTACCTCATTTAAATCACAAACAGACAGACTCATTGGAAGACCAGTTTTTCGCAAGTTTTGCAGTTTTCTTTTGCCTTTTTTTTTTTGTTGATTCAAAGCCGATTGTTTGGACTCTGCAGTCTCCGGACAGATGGGCTTATGCACAAACAGTTTGAAACTGACCTCTTCAGCCTTTTCCGCTCCTTGTCGTCTGAACTGGTATTCCGCTTCCTTGCACTCTGATTGGACTGATTACCAGGTGGAGGCTGCCCAGCATGGCGGAACTGTTGCTGCTGCTGCTGTTGTGCCATTCCCGCTGTCGAGTTTGGGGCCATCCCAGGGACAGCCATGCTCAGCTGAAGATGGTTTTGCCCCATCGCAAGAGTCAGAGGGGTTTGCACCGGCATTACAGAAGGGGCAGAGGGCATATTATACTCTGGAACTTCCCTCGAGCCTAGACCACTATCACTGTCATCATCACTGTCACCTGCAAGCCACAAGAAAATCAACGAAAAAATAAAATAAAATAAAAAATCAACCACATCAAACAACATACTTTGGTGGTTTTTATTTTGTTTTAACAACTTCTCGTCTGACAAAGGTTGGAAAGTAAGCACGCACTTTGCTCTCTCTCTCTCTCTCTCTCTCTCTCTCTCTCTCTCTCTCTCTCTCTCTCTCTCTCTCTCTTTCACACACACACACACACACACACACACACACACACACGCGCGCGCGCGCGCGCGCGCGCGCATGTTCGTGCATGCCTGCGTTGTCATGTTAGCTATGGACAACTTCACAAAAGGGAGCATGACTGTGCCAGACTGTTTCATTGGATTTTCACCGACTCATCAGGAGGTTGAGCCCCAACAGTCTGCTCGAGATGCATTTGCGTGCGTGTGTGTGATGTCACGTTCGATATACACATTTGAGAGAGAGAGCGCACCAAGCCCGTAGCACCCAGCATGTGACACCTAGCACCAAGCACGTAGCACGTAGCACCGAGCACGTAGCCCCGACCACCAAGCACCACGATGCACACCGACCACGACACGATGCACCAAAGCAGGAGAGAGAGTAGGCGGGAGTATGCACGGGAGTAGGCGAGTCAAGCAGTCGTGAGTGTAGGCGCGTCAAGTAGGCACAGGTGTAGGAGCGTCGAGAAGCCCCGTGCGTCGAGCAGGCGTGGGAATAGAGTGGGCGCACACAAAAAGAGTGAATGAGCCGCTTGGGCGTTTTGAGGGCTGGGCGGCCCTGCCGGTTGTCCAAAGATCGCGCGGCGGTCCAGGCCGTTCCCGGCCCGACGGCCCCGATTGCCTCGCGATCTTAAAGTTTTAAGATCGCAGGGCAATCCGGACCGCAAACGACCTGGATCGCCATGCGATCTTAAAATCTTAAGATCGCGGAGCAATCCGGGCCGTCGGGCCAGTAGGTCCGTGGACAGCCCAGATGCCAAAATTCTCACATTAGCGATTTTAATAAGTGTAGGGATAAAATGCCCGGTCATCATAGCTTTATTCCGGGCAACTTAAAGTCTAAACACAGTATTAATTACTGGGAGTTGTATTCGGGTGAAGACCGGAGTAGGTTTTCTCTTTTCTTTTCTTCTTTTCTTCTTTTCTTCTTCTGCTTTTCTTTTTTCTTTTCTTTTCTTTTTCTTTTTTTTTTTCTTTCTGAAAAGACTATAATGAACCCAGTCTGACAGATACTCAGAAGTCGTCAAATACCTGTGGAGTCAGTATCTGCAGCAAAGTCTCCAATTCGTGAAGAAATATATCAAACAGTATCTCATTATCATCAATAGAAGAGAGTGGAGGGGGAACAGACAAAGGAGAAGATGAAGAATCACACAATAATCCCTGCTGAACCCTCTCCTTCTCCGGGCTTCTCCCCTCTTCACATCAATAATGATAATAAGTATGTTCCTGATCACACACGGAAGTGCCACGTGGCACTCAATCTCATGAAGACCATGAAGACATTGCAGATTCCAGTATCGACTTCAACCCAGGTGAGTACCCGTTCTCCTTCAACCACAGATCCCGATCTTCCTCCTCGCAACCACTCACCTCATGTAGACAGCGTGGACAATGCCACGTCAACTATCGAAACAGGTGGCAATAGCCACATCATCAATGTAGACCAGTAGCAGCGCCACATCAGTATGCCACATAGACCAGAGGTAGCGCCACGTATACCAGAGGCAGCGCCACGTCAGCATGCCACATAGACCATAGGCAGCGCCACGTATACCAAAGGCAGCACCATGTCAGCATGCCACGTAGACCATAGGCAGCGCCACATCAGCATGGTATGGCGCACTGAAGAAGTGCTAGCATGCTGCCTCCACCTCGTGCCGTCGTCCGCAACGCTTGTGCACAGCCAGCATGAAGCCAGCTTTGTGTCAAAGTCGAGCCAGCGTCAAAGCAGCATAGCAAGACTGAATGCTTGACTTACTCGAGGTCAGCCTTAAGTAACAGATGTCGAGGCTGTCTGGCCTCGGGTAATTTTCCCACAGTCGTCCATATTGAATCACAGCTGAGGGTCCGGATTGTACAGTTGCAGACTTCTCCCTTGGACCTGATGCTGTCTGGGTACCTGCATACAAACAAGTGTGTGTGCTTGACCTGCGGCCTGGGCTAGGTACCTTTAGACTTTGACTGTTGGAATTTCCGACAGTTGACTTTGTCAACTGTGCCTCGTCCAGGCCCTGAGTCTTGACTGGGGTCTTTTTCCCCCTTTTCGCGTTATGTTCGGGGGAAGACGGTAGGAGGGGTGATATGAGCATCCACCCCTAGTAGACTTGTTAGCGGCCACTCCTATGGGTGGGGAACATCACCTGCTGGAAAACGGGTCCCACTCCTATGGGTGGGGAGCATCACCTGCTGGAAAATGGGTCCAGCATAGAATCTGATATAACATAGTCTGCAAAGTAGTCACGCCGACAGTCGGCGCCCCTGGATTGGTCGGGGGCCGACCAGCCGACCGTCGGACTGTTCGGCACCTACCGGTCGGGGGTCAGTTGGCACCCCACAATTTTTTTTATTTTTTATTTTTTTTTGGGTCCAGAACCCCATCAACACCCCCATAGCCCCCCAACCACCCCCATACACCCCCCCAACACCCCCTAACACCCTCATACCTCCCCTTAACCCCCTATAAGCCCCCTATACCTCCCCCTATAACCCCCACCACCCCCAAAGATTTTATTGCGGATCTGGGCTGCTCTCCTCAAGCCATGCACGACCATGCAATCAGGGGAAAAAAAAAAAAAAACTTGCAGGGCAGTTTGCTGACCGCCAACGGGTCCACCTACGGGTCGGCCTGACTGGTAGGCGCCCCGACCACCTACGGTAGGCGTCGGCGGTAGGCGCCAAAACTACCCTGATAGTCTGAACATGTGGAAGATAGAGACTGCGAATTATAACTCTTCACCCAACTGCTGGGTGCAGAATATAAACCTTACACTGTAGTATTCCACAGACTGCAGACCAGAAAACGCTCTGCAAATATACCCACAGTCTTAGGGGCTCGTTAGACACTCCTTGGGGCGTCCTCGGGGCCGAAGGAAGTTTCCTTGGGGGTTCTGAAGGAAATTCCCGCCGTCCTTCCACCTATCCTTGGGGGGTCTCCCAAGGATGATTCCTTTCGGCCGCCGGCGGCCATTTTCATAATATTAGAGTCAGTCGCAGGGGGCGCAATGCCTTGGTCCATTGGGTGATGTCCGACTTGCTACAGTGTAGTCCAGCTGCCGAAGGCAGGAAATTTTGAAAGGCGCTGGGGACCGGAAAAAAAAAAACCCTTAAAAAGCAATGCACCTCCCCGTTTGAAAATCAAATTTCAAATTGGGTGTTGGACGTCACAACAGCGACGCAGGGCAGGTGGCGTCCATATCTGCGACAGTGGAAACGGGCATTTGCAGAGGCGCAGTGGAGTCCTTGTACGCCGTCACAAAATTTGTGAGCGCCCCACGAAGGTCCATCGCCATCGCTTCTGCATGCCGCCGCGCCTATGTGTTGAGTCGAGCACACGCAGGGAACGTCGTCGGGGACATGGCGCTGAGGTTACCGTGGTCATGGTGAGTTGGTAGGCTGTTGTATTTTCGTGGTTCATAAGCATTGCAACACATGTGCCGATGGAGGGCGGCAGCGACGGCGGACGTGCAAAGTTGACGACGATCGAGAAGACGGCCGTGCTCTTTCGTTGTCAGCACGAGAGGGCATTGGCCAGAATGAGAGCACAGATCCGCGCATGGAGGAGGAAGATGCTTCATCAAGTCCGGGTCGAAGGGCTGGATATCGTGGCCATCATTGAGGCTGCAGTTCAGGTTTGCTGCGCCATGGGTTGCAGTGCTCTTCCACGAGCGACGCCGAGGTGGTGGATGGAAAGGAGGATGGGGGGGGCGTGGGAGGAGCTCAGGCAATGCGATGATGTGACGGAGGAGTACTTCTGGGAGAAGCTGCGTATGTCGCCACGTGTCTTCCAGGCGATGGCAATTGCATCCAGTGTGGACGAACGCCCGCGGGATGCGCTGCTGATGTCGATGTCGACTGCAGTCGGTGTCGATCCCTCGTCTTCTCTGTTGGAGGCCTTCGATAGAGGTCGGCCATCAACAATAGAGGAAGCACACGTGGACAAGAGGACCACGACAAGCAAAATTATGACTAGGAGCAGTAGTGGCAACCTTCAATAAAGGTCGGCCATCAACAACATGTAGTGCAAGGCCGTAATTCTACGACGACGGTGAAGGTCCACCGAACAGCGACGATGAAGAGAGAAGATGATAGAGGACAGCATACGACACACACACTCTAACGGGTCGTACGCCCTTGCACTGTGAGCTGGTCCGTGGCCTGCGCGGTGGCTTCTGGAGTGGTCCACTAAAGACCTGCTTTTCACCTGCCGCCCGTCCACGCCGACGTCCTTCTTCGCAGGCCGCCTCTTACGTGTACGTCCAGGCACCCTGCCGAGGATGCAGATGTGGAAGAAGACGACAAGGACAAGCAAAAGGATGACCAGGAGCAGCAGCGGCAGCCTTCGAAAGACGTCGGCCATGAAAGACAAGTGCGGAAGGGCAGTAAGCGACAGACCGCGGCATGGGACAACCGCCTAGTAAAGTTTTTCGTCGTGGATTACAGTGGGCGATCGGAGCAAGGGGGGTCGGCTGAAGTATTCAAATTTGTCGACCGTTCAACCCCTTTCTGTTTGGCGGCACGCACTGCGATGGAGATCATTGGTCGACAACATCCACGGGGGCCGGCCGGCCACCAACGGTTACCGTTGGCGTAAGGTTCTTGGAAGCCGAACGTTAAGGACCCAAGATGTCCGTTCGCTGCCCGGTAGGAACTCCAATGGACCAGCCGACAAAAATTTCTTGCCGACGACGGGTGCCCTCAGCGCTCCGATTGTCGTGGATCCTTGACCTCCAAGGGACCTCGGGAGGTCCCTTGGGGAATGCCACCAAATGGCTATAGCCCGAGGACGCCCCGA